CCTTTAATAATTAATTTGCACGAGAGGCCTGAAGACCCTCTTGTTCCAGTCGTATCGGATATTCATTATGTCAGAATAAATAGTGTGGGAACAATTTCATTGTATTATAATTATTAAATAGAACGTTCGTAACGAAAAATATACAGTAAACCTCTAAAGAACGAAAACATAAAAAAATATTCGCCTTTGGGTGGTTCGACTGTATTTAATTTATATGTACGTCCTTAAATTCTAAAAATTATAAAAATATTTTAATACGAACAACTAGTTATTGTTAATTACTGTCTGCCATGTTGCCACCTGAACAAACCGAGTATGGAATTCCTATTGTTGACAAAGTACAGATCTCTACGCAAATAAATTCGCTTTATTTTTCTTTAAATCTTATTTTGTGAAATTATTCATTTTTAGTTTTATTTCAAAGAACAATTTTAAATATTGAATAACATATTTAGGTGTATTATACTTATGTCCATTTTCTAAAACTGGGCTGCATTTAGTGTAGAGCCTCAGCAATGAATTGTCTATGTGGAAACTCCACATAGATTCGAGGCTAATAGATTCAGTGTAGAGCCTCAGCAATGAATTGTCTATGTGGAAACTCCACATAGATTCGAGGCTAATAGATTCCAGCCTCACCAATGGGTTGTCTATGTGGAAACTCCACATAGACAACCCATTAGTGAGGCTCGAATCTACCAATGTTCAGTGATTCATTCACTGAACACTATGGACTTATAGAAGATCCATAGTGCCCAGCTATGGTATACAGCTTAACAACAGAAATATAAAGTCTCCTCTTTTAGTCAATGTAATTTTTCCATTACAAATAATTTGTACTTATAAATGTAAAGATAGAAATTCATATTTAAATGTACACTGTAATAAATTTTGAAGATAGGATTTCTATTTACAGTTGACTCCCCTATAACACTGTTAATAATTCCGTTTTATATGAATTCCGTGTTGTACGAGTCACTTAGATTTTACAAATACGTGTGCTGGGCTGTGAACGGCTTACGTATTTGTAAAATCTAAGTGACTCGTACAACATGGAATTCATATAAATCTTGTTTAAAATGTACATAAAAGTTTTTATAAATGAATTGATTCTTGTCGATTATTCCTCATGTTCAATTTATTTTGTTCTTGAAAAATTGAAGGAAAGAAATAACCTGAATACAAGTGAAACTTGAAATATTTAGAAAAGTAAATTTTAAAATTGAAATTATTAAAGAAAAAAATCAAAATTCAATTATTGTTCAGGTTAAAATCAGAAAAGGATTAAAGTAAATTATTATTTTTTTGGTAAACATGAAGAGGATAAATACAATTTTATTGGTTAACAGTTAACAGGCGTTATTTATACAAATATTAATATTCTGACGTCAGCCAGTAACGTAATCTAAAACAATAAAAAGTCAGAAATATAATATATCAGTTTACTCTTTGTTGGGAAATGAATCAAGTGTTAAAGATGAAATTCGCTTTAATCCTCCTGTTTGGATTTATTGGTAAGTAAAATTTTTAATACATTTTGCATGCGTATTGATAACAATTTTATAAGTATATTCAAAACTATCGGATATACGACAATGATAATGTCTACAATTCCAACCGTGTTGTGTTTCTGGATTTTGCGTACTTTATTGGTAAATCATAAATACTTTTCAACGTTCCAGAGAAAGATGTGAGTCGAACAGCCATTTATTTGATTAATGATTGTACAGTTAGAAAACACCATTTTTAATTTTGATATCTTATCAATTATTTAATAATTGTTGAACATGAACTTGATAAGAACACGAATATCACGTAATGAGGAACATGCCTGAAATTATATCGATTCAATTATACTAAATTACTTTGAACATTCCGTATAGATCATAGGATCATGAAGGAATTTTATATTCTTAACACAAAACTGAAATGTATAATACAGCATTGTGTAAGGTATTTTATAGTGTTTGGATAAAAATTGGTGCAAATTTTATATGTTAAATTATTATCAATTAAGCTGTCGGTGCTATAAATCATTATCTACTTTATCATGATTATTCGAAAAGCCTAGAGAAAAGAAAAATGTAAATCGACCAGTAAAAATCGAATGGAAAAAGAGTAATTTTTTTAACTAAGAAGCCTTATATACTATAAAATTAATTTTTATAATATTTGCATATAATTTTGAATAGTTTATTTACTTGTTAATTTTTTTATACTTTCGTGATTATATATAAATATCACAATTTTTATTTTTTAGGAATTAATAATGCTATTGAGACTGATCAGCCTGTAAGTGTAATTTATTCTATTTATAGTCAAACCTCTGAGCAGCAGCCACTAACTAGAAAATTAGAACATAAAACACTGGCCAGAGCTCTTGCTAGACTAAATACAATATCATCATTAAGTCCGAATATACTCGAGATATGACACACGACACACCTCTCGACCTTTCATCAAACTTTAATAGCACCAATGCCCCTTATACACAAGCTGAAATGCCAAAATTCGTTTCTTAACTTTGACCCTATGCTAAGATATTAAATAGACTTCAACACACACAGACGTACACATCAACAAAATTATTTTATCTTTATTTTTTTTTTGGACTTTTTTGGGTTCAAGAAGTTTCAAAACGTGGAGGTTTTCATAAACCTCTGAGGGTCCAATTTAAAACTATTTGAATACGTAATTACACTTGTTATGTATACATCAATCGTAAGGGAAAGTAAAATTGTTCTCCAAAGGAGTTCTGTTCCATTCTTTATGTAAATATCAGATGACACTTGAAAAGTTCAGGCATAAAACTTTGTTAGTTTTAAATTTAGTCACATAAATTTTTATCATTTTAATGCTAATCTACGTTGCATTTTACAGTCGACCTCCTATAACACTGTTGATTGTTCCGTTTTATATGAATTCCATGTTGTACGAGTCACTTAGATTTTACAAATACGTGAGCCACTCTGTGAACGGCTCACGTATTTGTAAAATCTAAGTGACTCGTACAACATGGAATACATATAAAACGGAACAATCAACAGTGTTATAGGGGGGTTGACTTGTATTTCTAAAATTTTAGTTTGTAATAAGATTATTTTTGTGTTATATAAAAATATAATTAACTATCCAATTATGATTTTAATTTTTGTAGGAAGTGATGGAACCTTCAAATTCGAAAGTAAGTTATTTCTGATTTAGTATGAATTTTTCATATTTGTTTCCACACTATAGAATATCTATATATATAATCGAGACTGGTGGAATAATAACACAGCTGTCCCTTGATAATCTGACAGGTATGAAACCAAAGGGGTGTCGGATTGCCAAAAGTGTCCGGATTACCGAAAGTGATTACATATTTGGCATTGTTTTGCTAGCAGTAGCCTACAATATTCCCTACTCCAACTGTTCAAACACGACTGCTCATAGAAAACACACGAAATGTGTTATCGTGTAAGAATTGGGTGGGGAGATTCACGTCACGACATTTGAGAGCGCGGAGGATAAATACCTTATAATTTTGTTTGTAGGTTAGCAAAAGTTCTTCCTTTCAGTCCCAAAAGTTGTTCTTTTATGTCAGTTTAGATCTTGTTATAATACTCCGTGAGTTGGAGCTATTGTCACTGAACAGAGAAGTGAAGGAAGAACGAGAGAGCCGAGATATCCGATGATAATGTCCAAAAAATTTTACACAGGAGCACCGACATAAATAATTAAGTTCGAGGACTATACGACGATTTCGGTTATAAAATCGCTTATAAGTTATAGGATCGACGATAGGTTATAGGATTCGGTTATAGGCGACTTGTACAGGAGAGGAATGGGCAACAACGGCCTTTTGTTAGTAGCTAGTTGTGATAAGAACTAGTCAACAAAGAGTTAAAACCACTAGATCAGGACAGCAGGTCGGAAAGTCACGAGAAAGCGTCATCACTGATGCTGGAAACTAAAACAAAGATATATTCTCAGGTGTGAAAGTTGACAGATAGTTAACGAAGTTGATATTATGATGTTAATTTCTTTGTTAATAACCGAATTCTCAGAAAAGCATAGATAAACTGTGTAAACATGTAAGTTATACAATTATCGTAAAAATACGTTCATGAAAATTATCAGTATATTACTAAACCAATGTCATAATATATCACTGGGATTAGGATTGATTATGCTAATACATATGTCTTCTAATCTGAATATGATAGAGCTATCTTGATTAATCGCACACTTCGTGCTTTGTACTTGTTTTATAATTATAATTCATTGTATAATTAATTGTTTTATATTGTTTCTTCTTGTTAAACTAACTACCTAATAATCAAATGAAATTTTATATTTAAGTAGTTGTTACTCGCAACTTTCCCGCACGGATTTTGCAAGCAAACCCCATTTATATTCAGTATTTTAACAACCATAGTAATTGTTATATAACACCTGCCGCCGAGAATGATAAGAATTGCCGAGGATCAAACGAACTATTTTCAATATGATCAATTTTCTGGAACGTTTACAATCGTTCTATAATCGAACCAATACGCAATAACAAATTCGAATCTAAAACGGTTCGAACATTTTTAAAATCGAAATAGATAAAAATATTTATAACAATGTCTGAAATGTTATCAATTTAATACACCTAAGTACTCAATGAAGACTAAAGGTAGTTGAAAACAAAAAATCGCATCTAAAATAGTACAGTAGAAGCCGTTCTTNAAATCCCTTCTTAGTGAGCGTTTTCATGACATACCCTAACTGTGTACCAAATTTTACCTTTTTAGGTTCAGCGGTTTGCTCTGGGCGATGATAAATCGGCGAGTCATTCAGTCAGTCAGTCAGGACAAGCAATTTTATATATATAGATTAGACAATTCTTAGTTTTTTTCAGTTTTTAAATATTTTATTTTCAGTATTCAGAGCATACAATTTAGCACTTAATCGTCCAAACTCTCATTATTTTATCATTATTTTTTTATTTTACTGAGTACTTTTTTATTTACTCTAAGCAAATTTTATTTATTATTTTAGAGATAATCAGACGTATCGAAATAATTAATCATTCCTTTTAAGTACTCACAGAAATAATCAGTTTTTGTTATAAATGTAAGAATTATTATGAAATTGCAGCTCAATAAGTACTCTCCAATAGCCAAGTGGAGGAAACCACAGAATGCCAGTAGTCGGTAGTGACTTTGCGCATGGCGTACCGACCGGTGACGTAGAGTTTTCTGGGTTTTCTTCACGTTATTAAAACCTAAATAGGGGACAGCTTCACATAAAAGTCTTTCCGGAATACATCATCCTTGTCAGATCGCTGAGGTGTTGCATTGCTGTAACCAAATTAACCAAAACAATTCTAATAATTTTTCTATAAACGCGATATTCACATTGACATACTTAACTGTTGCGAAACTGAATATACCGCCCCTTTGAGTGTCTTCGTTCTCTTAAGATAGAAACTCAACGATTACAAGAAGAAAAAGAATGAATAAAAAACGAGTTTGAACAAATGTCGATTTCGAAATCATTCTTTTATCGTTTGAAATGTTAATTAATCAGCATCTATCTTACTTTAAGTACGTGAGTTCTGATTTGTTAATTTTCACTTTGAATATAAACATTGTCTAGGTGAATATAGCGTGTTATTATAAATAGTAATGTATAACTAAAATGTTTATATTTCAAAGTAAGTGTAAAATATGTAAAATAAGATTGCTTTTTAAATGCTGTACATAGAATAAATATATGTGAAGTAAAAGTAAACTTTACTGTATATATATGTAAGTGCCTATGGGAATGTTCTTAATATTAATNGTAAGTTATACAATTATCGTAAAAATACGTTCATGAAAATTATCAGTATATTACTAAACCAATGTCATAATATATCACTGGGATTAGGATTGATTATGCTAATACATATGTCTTCTAATCTGAATATGATAGAGCTATCTTGATTAATCGCACACTTCGTGCTTTGTACTTGTTTTATAATTATAATTCATTGTATAATTAATTGTTTTATATTGTTTCTTCTTGTTAAACTAACTACCTAATAATCAAATGAAATTTTATATTTAAGTAGTTGTTACTCGCAACTTTCCCGCACGGATTTTGCAAGCAAACCCCATTTATATTCAGTATTTTAACAACCATAGTAATTGTTATATAACACCTGCCGCCGAGAATGATAAGAATTGCCGAGGATCAAACGAACTATTTTCAATATGATCAATTTTCTGGAACGTTTACAATCGTTCTATAATCGAACCAATACGCAATAACAAATTCGAATCTAAAACGGTTCGAACATTTTTAAAATCGAAATAGATAAAAATATTTATAACAATGTCTGAAATGTTATCAATTTAATACACCTAAGTACTCAATGAAGACTAAAGGTAGTTGAAAACAAAAAATCGCATCTAAAATAGTACAGTAGAAGCCGTTTTTCCGGTTAAGCCTTAATGCTCTCCCTCTCCCCAACTGGGAAATTTCGAAAAATCCCTTCTTAGTGTGCGTTTTCATGACGTACCCTAACTGTGTACCAAATTTCTGTTCTTTAGGTCCAGCGGTTTGCTCTGGGCGATGATAAATCGGCGAGTCATTCAGTCAGTCAGTCAGGACAAGCAATTTTATATATATAGATTAGACATTTCTTAGTTTTTTTCAGTTTTTAAATATTTTATTTTCAGTATTCAGAGCATACAATTTAGCACTTAATCGTCCAAACTCTCATTATTTTACCATTATTTTTTCTTTTATTTAACTGAGTACTTTTTTATTTACTCTAAGCACATTTTATTTATTATTTTAGAGATAATCAGACGTATCAAAATAATTGATCATTTCTTTTAAATACTCACAGAAATAATCAGTTTTTGTCATAAATGTAAGAATTATTATCAAATTGCAGCCTAATAAGCCAAATAGCCAATAGCCAAGCAAAGGAAACTGTGGATCGACAGTCGTCGGTAGTGAATTCGCGCCTGGCGTACTGACAGGCGACGTAGAGTTTTCTGGGTTTTCTTCACGCTATTGAAACCTAAATAGGGGACACCTTCACATAAAAGACTTTCCGGAATACATCATCCTTGGCAGATCGCTGAGGTGTTGCGTTGCTGTAACCAAATAAACCAAAACAATTCTAATAATTTTTCTATAAACGCGATATTCGCATTGACATACTTAACTGTTGCGAAACTGAATATACCGCCCCTTTGAGTGTCTTCGTTCTCTTAAGATAGAAACTCAACGATTACAAGAAGAAAAAGAATGAATAAAAAACAAGTTTGAACAAATGTCGATTTCGAAATCATTCTTTATCGTTTGAAATGTTAATTAATCAGCATCTATCTTACTTTAAGTACGTGAGTTTTGATTAGTTAACTTTCACTTTGAATATAAACTTTGTCTAGGTGAATATAGCGTGTTATTATAAACAGTAATGTATAACTAAAATGTTTATATTTCAAAGTAAGTGTAAAATATGTAAAATAAGATTGCTTTTTAAATGCTGTACATAGAATAAATATATGTGAAGTAAAAGTAAACTTTACTGTATATATATGTAAGTGCCTATGGGAATGTTCTTAATATTAATATACGGAAAAAGTATTTTTGTTATTTAGCATAATACACGAGTTAGAACGACGAAAAGTTTACTAAAATGTATAAAATTTTGAATTATCTATCAGATCATGAAATAGTTTAATAAAAATACAAAATATTTACATTGAAATGGTTGGTGTAATGTTAAAATAAGTTAATACAATACTTTTGCGTTGAATAATTTCCTTGCAAACAATTGAAAACTTTATATAGAATAGATTTGATTATACAATATTAATATATTATTATTTTTTAATAGAGTGGAGGGCTAACAGGCCAAACAACTAGAATTAATCCATCCAGAAATGTAAGTTACGTTTTCATATAAATTGATTTAAAATTCCTTATATTTTAATATATTTTATATATAAGAGGACTTATATTTGGTTTAAAAACGAAAATAAATAATTTATTTATATATTTAAACAGTAATTGTTTTAATATAAAATACAATTTATATTAAATTTTTTTATAATCGCTCCATTAAAAGTCTTCGTTCTCTTAAAAAATATTACAAGAGGAAAGGAATTAATAAAGATAAAATGATTTGAACGAAATTTTTTATGT